CCCTATTATGACCATGCCTTTTTCGAAGAATGGAAAACGGTCAGTAATCGGTCGGTTTTTGTTCGATTCCGATCGAGTCGGTTATGTTGGACGCTTTTTAACAATTTTTTAGTAGTGAGGTCCTATAATATAAGTCTCTCGCTACTCATTAAAAAACAAATGTCCCCGTACACAGTAAATAAAAAATAATCAAACTGATATATGAGAAGACATATTGAAATAAATACATAAAATATGGTTTTTCTAATAATTTATTTATTTAGATGAAACAGTTACCCATTTGAAACACTTCTATGACTTAGGTAGGAGTAGCATTTATTAATCTTAACTTGGTATGTATAACCCGTGATTCTTCCTATTGTATAAGTCAATTGCACCCTTCAAAGGAAATTGGAAAAGAAAAGAAGAAAATGATTACTTTTTATTTGAATTAAGCTAAGNGGGGGGGGCGTGTAGGACAAAGTACTCAACAAAAACTTGAGGCAAGTAATATTTGACAAATTTTCAAATCTCCTGTTTCTAATGCATTACTTTGCTTTACTACCTAAATATAAGCGGCTAAGGAGATCGGAGCTTGGGATCGTAGGGGTATTTTGGAAAATTGAGGTTGCTCAATTTATATAACTTCACATGTTATATTTGTTGAATACTTAGTGCCTCTGGACCCTAAACCCTAAACCCTCGTCCCTCCATATATATAACTCTGTGATCTTTTCCTTTTCGATCAGTTGAAGTCTTAGTCGTTGTTTGGCCATAGATTTTGTCAATTTGTTTTCTAATTTTTTTTGGCAAAACATGTTTGTTTATAGATTTTACCCATGTTTTGGCAGATTTTGAAAACAAAATTTTTAAATCCCAAAATTAGCTCTAAACATGTTTTTGGCCCAAAATATTACTGTTTGATTTTTTAACAATTATAAAAATTACCTTGATTTTTTTGTATTTTATAAAAAAGTTCACCATCTATTATGACTCAACTAATCCATCAGCTAATTACTATCATTTTTTTTTGGACTGATGGATCTTGTAATATTATTGCAACTTGACGAATTATAGTGAGTAGTATTTGTGTTATTAGCAGTTGATATTAAAATATCAGGTTATGGTTTTAGGATGATGTATTATGTAGTTTATTATAAAAATGATAATTTTGTGCCAAACTTATCTATGTTCAAGACTATGGTTTGTGATAATGATATTGAATGGTATCGATGAAGGTTTTGCATATACATCATTAGCAATTTTGTTTGTTTGGTATTGTTGGGTATTTTTGATAGTTTTTAGAACTTATGGTTATAAGTCACATTTCATGTTTTTTTTTTTAAAAGTGAAAGATGTTTTGAAAAATTATGTCCAAACATATTTTCATCTTCAAACCAAACTTCATCCAAATCAGAATTTTTTAAAATAAATTTGGGAATATATAGTCAAACGCTAGCTTAGGATCTTGAAGATGTTAGAACATTAAATTATCAAAAATTTGTACTGTAATGCTCTAATTTCTAAAATTTTATGTTGCTCGAACTCCTAAAAAATATTGTTATTTTTATGCCGAATCCTCCAAGAATATAGTATTACTTTGGGAGTTTGAAGAGTTCGAACAACAAAATTTAAAATATATTTTAATATAGATATTAGTCATGAATTAAGCTTGTTAGAGTGAATTTAATTTATTGTTGTTAGGAATGAAGCTAAAAAGTGGAGATCGATGAACAAATGAAAAGCAAAGCAAAGGAGAAAAAGAATGAAAGATTCTCCTCTCTATGATACTAGCGAGGGATAGTTCGTGTTGTGCATGGGCCCAAGCTCAAATGAAGAAACTAATATAGTTTTAATTAATCAATAATTTTACTTTAATTTTTGTTACGAAATTAATATGATTTTCAGTCACAAATTTTCAGTGTTGAAGTCAAGTTCATGTACAAACATAATGCACACTCTCTTTAATTTCAATTTCGAATATTATTGAACGCTTACAAAAAAAATTGAATTCAAACCCTACAAGATTATGCATAAACTAACTTGTGTTAGACACTTTATTTCAAGGGGAAAAGGATATTTAATAAAATGCGGCTAAAATATATATTGAGATTTAGTTGTATTATTCTCTTTGTCAAAGAACGACAATGACATGATATAATGATCAAAATATCTAATTTTATTTTATATTTTCAGTATGGTAATAATTTCCTTTCATTAATATCATAATTCAATTCAATTATATTCTTATAATTATAGATAGGTACCTAAGTAGTATTTCATCCTTTTATCTTTTTTTCCCTCTAGATCCCAATTAATTCCTTCTTTCTCTCTTTTATTCTTCTGCAAAAATTCAGCAAGCCCTTGCTCCTTTTTTATGATATTAGCATAATGTATATGATCTTCTTCTACTTTGTTAGAGAATCTATCGTTAACATCATTGTAAAATAGCTAATACTTCCAATAATATTACAGTAATATCATTGGCTACTTATTGTTTATTTCAAAATTTAATCTTCATATCATTGTGTTTACCTAATTCATTTTACTTTTCTTAAAAATTATTGAATAAAAAATATTTGCTTCTTTGGAAATGAACATCTTGTATTACTTTTACAATATTAGGTTTGTATGCAGTTGTATTTTTTTTATATTAATCTATTGTTAAGAAAAAACTATTTTTTTTACTGTATAAATATTTTGTATTATCTCCATTATATTAGATTCGTATACTGTTATTTTCTTTACTCAAACAAAATTGACCTTAAATTTGAATGGATAATACTTTGAAATTTAAAAGTTAACAAGGTGATCTTTTTTACGTGAGAAATAGGTTCGGATAGTAAAAATATTAATTTAAAATATTAAATTCAAAAAAGAAAATCGAAGGCATTATGAAAAGCTTTTCAAAGAACATAGAAATGAATTTTAATTCTGAGACTTAACAATACATTGTTTATAACTACAAATAATATAAATTTTTGCAGTGAAAATGATACTGAAATTGTTTTAGACGGAAGAATACAAGGAAAAAGAGGGTTGGGGGTATAAGCGGTAAACGTGGCAGGAAAAAATTAAAAAGATGCTATGAACTATTGAGGGATCCACGTGATTAGCAAATGACCATTTAAAGTTGCCGCTTGTTCAGCAAAAAGAGTTCAGGTAGGGACCACAAGAAAAATATACAGACAATGTAGCACTTAGTACAACATAGTAAAGCATAAAATAACTGCAATTTCCCAAAATAACCCTGCGACCCCAAGCTCCTCAACTGCCCCTTATTCATAGTAGGATATATATACTTCAGGTGCTTCTGATGATTTCTGCTAAAGATTTTAAAAAGGTTTTCTCTTTTTTTAGCATAGCTTGTATAGTTGATTTATATTGTTTCAATTTTGCCAATCTACTATTTGAAATATTTAATTTTGGCTCTGTTATACTATTATGACAAAATAGCCTCCGCCTAGCGGTATCAAATGGACGGGTTGGATTGATTTTAAGCGGGTCAAAATAGGCCGAGTCAATAAATGAGGGTAAAATTCAAAAATAACCAGATTTACAAGTGATAATTGAAAAATAGCCACAGTTTCAAAAGTAATCGAAATTTAGCTACTTTTCATGTAAAGATAATCTGAACGAAAACACTGTTCAAAATTCGAAAAATATTCCAGCATAATATACTGGTCCAGCATAATATGTTGGAAATTCATACACAGATGCTCCAATCTCTAGTATATTATGCTGGAACTTTCTAATAGATGGATCAATAAAATATGGTGAAAAGAAATAGCCAATACATGAGTTTCCTTTTAGGAGAAATAATTCGATTTGATAACGAAGGTAAATACATCATTTAATTAAATGAGAGAGAAATTTATCGTTATTTATCACTCAACTATATAAATTTAATTAAAACTTTAAAAATATTTTATTAATAATAATTACATAAAATATATGTGATACATAGTAGTACTTAAAATTGGGGCCCTTAATATTTTGAGGGCCTAAGGCAATGGCTTCATTTGTCTTATCCTTAAGTCGTCCCTAGTGAATAACCGGCCCAACCTTGGACGGGTTAGGCGAATTAAATGAGTTTGGGATCAAATTACTACTCTACAAACTGCGTCTTTACTTTAAAGGTTCAAAATACCCCTCTCCACTAATGTCCTCAACGTGAAAAAACCCCTGACATTTTCTCCACGTGGATTTTGTTGTTGAACTCAGACTCTTGTTCCCGAGGACCAGGATCTGTGATGTTTACACTATTCTTACAAAGACCTACTTTCTAATCAGTCGAGCTTCAAGATCTTTTCTTTAATTGATAATGTCAAATCGTTAATCTTCGTCCGGAGCTATAGCTCTCCCTGCAATTCCAACTTAGTCAGAGAATTAAAGGACGGATGGTATGTCTTTCTAATTGAACAAAATTGTCTCTAACTCAATTATCCTCTCTCCTTATTGTATATCCTTAATATTAAAGAGTATTATGATCCAAATAAGGGGAGAAGATAATTGAGTTAGACAAAAAATTCCACGTGTTATGCCATCCTCATAAAAGTAGTGTCAAAGCATTTTTCTTCTGCTATTAGTTTGGGATCAGTATTTCAGGACTGTTAGGTAACATCGAGGGTTTTTTTGTCCCGATAGTTAATAGAGAAAAAGATGTGAGCCTTTTTGAATAGTAGAGATGCAAAATGTATTTATTTTTAGCTTCTCGATTATGAACAGATCTGTCTTGAACCTTACGGTATCTAGTGAAGAATAGTAATTAAATTAACGAACTTTTACCAGTAAATCATTTATCTATCCGTGTGCCATGCTAAATTTATACTTTCCCGCTTAAACTATTTTTCTTAAACATATCATCTATTAACTTTCATTAATTAATGTCGCAGTGATTTAAAACGATAATCACATCCAACAATACTTATATTACATATGGTCATAATTAGAGTATTAAAACGTAAAATCATTTCACTAATTAGAAGGAAATATAGTTCTTCACGATAACATATAGTCTTGAAGTTGGCCGGATGATGCAAATAACATTAATTTCCAAGTTTTTTCGACTTGTAATATTTTGTTGTGCAAGCGTCGAAGCAGTCTTCCATTTTCTTTTCATCTGCAATCAAATTAAAGGATTTGTTAGTACATTCATTTATATAAATATAGTTCTAATTTTGTGCATATAAGAAAAAATCCCTTATGCTAATTCGTGTAGTACATGCACTAAAGCCATACTTTTCATCATTGCAGTACAGGAGTTAGCATGACTTTAATGCATATACTTAAAACGGATTTTTCCTATAGGTACAGAATTAGAACAATGTTTATCTATTTAGCGTAGCTAAAGCTTTAAAAAAATAAAATATACACAATTTCGATCAAGATATACAATATACATACAATTTACATATAAATTTTTAATTTATAGAATCCAATGACAACATACAACTTACATATAACTTGCATATAAAATTTGTTATATACAAATTTGGTTAAGATATACAACTTACATACACTTTAATACAACCTGCATACAACTGTGTTGTTGTATCATGTATGTATCTTGTATTCCTTTTCGAATTTCAATCTAAAATTTTAATTAAAACCAACTCTAATATTCAGCAAACTCCCTCAAATTAATATATAAACTCCAAAGGATATCCCAATCATTTGAAACAACACCCAATTCACACAATAATAATTTTCAAAAATCCGATTTTCAAATTCAAAGTTTCGAAATTTTTTGATAGTTGTTAATGAAGATTTAAAGGATTTTGATTAGGTTTATTATTTTCAATGAAGTGATTGAGGTCTTCTCTACAATATCTAAAGTGCAATTTCTTGAATTTGTTCCCTGGAGTCTATGAGCTTGAGCTTCAGTTATTGATGTTGTAAAACAACAAATTTTTAATTGCGTACACAAACTTGAAATTGCAGCATTCAAGCAAATGAATATAACATGAGTTATCGTGTTCTAACAGGAGACAAAGACAAGGTCTATAAATTCTTTGAGAGGAGTGGAAAAAATGGGAAAGATTGGAGCCTAATCCTATACAATTGATAAATATAGTTATGCTAAGCAATTAAATGAATAGTGATAATTAGTTTTATAATTATGTATAGATAATTAAGTAAAATAAACAAGCTAGCCAAAAGTGTGGCTTAAACTAAGGCTATAGCCTGTGACAGGAATTCAATTAATTAATTTCCATCACAATTAGAGACGATACGTTGTTCATAATAAAAACCAATTACAATTAAGTATTCAAGGAGTAAAGCTACAATAGTATTATGGCACGAGGTATGAAAACACACGAATATTAGACCTATAGTCTTGAGAATGAGTTCGAATAAATTTTCTTACACCATATATATATATATATATATATATATATATATATATATATGTAAAAAGTTATTAAATAACATTAATATTAATTACTTTTTGATTTATGGGTTCAATTTTTTTTTAATGGTTTTAGTAACACAAGCCTTGAAGATTAGCGTTCCAAATGAAAGATGAGCGTTCTTCTTCCTCCTTTTTTTTTAATACAAAACTTGGCGAAGTATTCTAATAAAGTCTCAAACAATAAATTGAAATTTTGAATCCGTCTTTGAAATAACATAATTTTGCGAAGAAAATGAGAGAGATACCTGCGGTAATGTTGGAGCACTGCTCATAACAACTAGTGTTGTGAATCATAGCTTCATAAATGCTAGGAATTTTGCATCTTTTCAAGCAAGGGTGAGAACAGAAAACAGGTTCAACAGAAGTTAGACATGTAAGTCTGCATAGTGCTTTACAACATATTTTACTTTCATCTACATTAGCTTCAACATTTGCTACTGTCATATACATGAAAAAGATTGCAAATACAAACACCCTTTTGAGATTCATGGTTGTATTTTCTTTTTCCTTTTTCTATTCTGCTTTATAAACTAAAGGTATTACTTTTGATTTGACTATTAAAAAAAATGGCAAAAATGATGCTATTTATAAGTCAAGTTTCATCTGCATTTAAGAAAAGTATATAGATTGTGTCAAATATACATATAATCAGATTTTGTTTCTCTTTGTCCTTAATTCTCCCATTAATTCCCACTTGGTCAAAGTCAAAGAATGAATTAAACTTCTTACTCTTATCCACTTGAGTTGTTAAGGCTGTTATGTTTTGACTTGACATAGATGCACGATATGATTCCAATTAGGGACTGTGACCGGCATATATAGTGGACTCACTTCACCAAACAAAAAAAAACTACAATTTGAAAATAAAATAAAATAAAATTTAACCTTAATTTATTCGTATTAACCTTAATTTGTTCATTAAAAATATAACAAGCACTCCTAGACTATTTATTTCAAGGACAACTTTGAAAAAAAGAAATTAATTTGTTCTTGATATCTGAAAAAATCAAAATATTGTGGACCATAAAAAAAAATAAAAAAATAAATTAAAGTGGACCGGAAAACCAAGCTTAACGACTCAAATTAACTAAGTCAAACAAGTTCAATTAATCCATGTTTAAAATTCAGATCAAAACATATATTTGGGAATCGAGGTATCATGAATGGTTCTACAAAAACTCATTATGATTAATGGTTTCTCTTGATTTTGCCCCATCTTCATAGGATTAATCCCCCTTTTCATTTATTTAACACGATTCAAATCTAGATCAATATGTATTAATTAGTTGATGGTCAATATGAACAACCACTAAAGTAAACCGCACTAGTTAATTTGTTTAAATTTGGCTTTTCCTAAATATTGACAAGTGGCATTTATAGGTTAGCAATTTACATCTATCTTTTGCAAAACATTTTTTTTTTTAAATTTAAAAATACTGATTTGCTTGTTGAAAGACAAGCAAAACTGTCCTTTTTTTGGATGAGAAATTACAGTAACTCAACTTTTAACTTTGGCTCATTCAACCTAACAGCTGCATGCTTTGCTGTCTGAAGGAAGCAACTTTTCTTCCTTTAGTAAGTACTCTTTTGAGAACATACATACACATCAAACTTTAATCTTCAATCACTAAATAAGCTTTAATCAGAACAAGACATATATGCATAGGTGGAAGAGAAAGCAAAGCCATAAATCCTATGTTGGTTGGTAAAGATGTACTCTCAAATAATATATGTTGGAGGAAGGCATGGTAAAGTGTGATAGTGATGTGAGTGATTTCATGCTGATAATATGCATGTCACACAATGCAAGAAGTTTACGAAGGGGGATGATGTATAGAACAAAAAGACAAAAAAGGGTATATGAACCTGCAATCTGCCTTATATAACACTTCACATTTTTCTCCAAGCAGTGAGATCTGTGTAATAGGTTGTTATATGAGTTAGGTGTGCGGGTGCCTATAGTTAATAAGAAAAAGAAGCTAAGCTATATGTAAGGTGTAAATTACTCTTAATGGTGTAAGATCCTTTGGAAAAATTACGCGGTCTCGATCCAAAGTTAACGATATCAAACCAAGTTAAGAATCAGAGGCGGAGCTAGGATTCGAAGTGTGTGAGTTCTAAATTTTAAATTAAAACACTTCTTTCAGCAGGAATTGAACCCCTATCTTTTCCAGCGAACCCACATCCCTTACCGTTGAACCAAGACCCCTTTTGTTACTGGGTTCAGCAGTATATATTTATATAGATTTAGTAAATATTTCAATATAAATACAGGGTTTCGAAAAAAGTCACTAGGTTCGCCCGAGCCCGCACCCACTGCTGTAGCTCCGCCCCTGTTAAGAATGTCTATGACTAGCTTAGGCCAACAATTGACTAAGAGCTAATGGTTCAACGAGATGAGTAAGGAGATGGCAGTGTGATGGCACGGGGCTCAGTTTACTGCCTTAACCCGGAGCTAGGAGATAAACACACACAAAGAAGTAGCTAGCTTGTGAGCTTTGGAGATCATAAATACTCAGGATGTTGTAGGTGGCACACGGTTAATCTCTAGATAAGCCCATGACTCATGGTGATGGGCTATGCAAAACTTAGTTCGAGGGGCTTGGTGATGGACCATGTGGAATTTAGTTCGAGAGAGATTATTGAGTTTACAAACAAAGTTTCACATTCTTAGTTTATAAGAAAAATATGTTACATATAAGGTGTAGGATAAGGAAAAATTACGCGACACAACAAACATATACACTGTATTTACTATTCGTAGATGTATTTAGGAGTATTTGTCGGTTGGTACGGTACGGTACTTAGACATTTTGGTTCAGTATTTTCGCTATTCGGTTTCTTAAAATGCTATACCAATATTATACCTAATTAAATTCGGTATGTTTCGATTTTTCTCCTTTCAATTTCAGTTTATTCGGTTCGGTAATTTCGGTTTATTCGATTTGAATACTAATTAGTGCATAAAGCCATAGACTGTAATATTCTTAATTAAAGTACTCAAAAGTATAAAAATAAAAATGTTTGTTGATAAAAGTTTTGTCCAAAACCATCAAGTATCAACCCATAGAGAGAAAATTATACATAAATGAATAAATTTGATCATTGAAAATGTCGTGTTTCTTACTTAGAGTTAATTGATAAACTTAGACAATAAAGAAAAGTAAAATTTTAGAATTTTTATATTTATGTTATATTTAATAATATGTGTATTGTGTAATATAATATATATTTTAGTACGGTATCCGTATTTAGGTATTTTATTTTAAAATACCAAATACCGTACCTAATACCAATTATTTTTAAAAACTCAAACCAAATACCAAAATACCGAATACTAAAATTTTTGGTTTCGGTATGGTATTCGGTATTTACCAAATGCACAACCCTAGTTGTACTTTCAAAAAATTACTATTTGTAGCTATATGTAAATTTTATAGAAAATCCACGTCTGAAAGTATTGAAATAAGAGATCAATTATTTTGAACTGAAACAAGAGAGCAACAAGCTCTCGTAGCTCAGTTGGTTAGACCACCACTTAGTAAGCGAAGGTCTTGAGTTTGACTCTCAACGAGGGCATTCTATTTTTTTTTGTATTTCTCTATTTCGCCTTGGGTGTATTCGTTGCGCGAATGAATACAATCCATATAGGTTGTATCCTTTGTATACATTCATTTATTTCACATTTATTGTATTCGTTGCGCGAACAAATACAATTGATACGAGTTGTATTCCATGCGCGAAGGGATACAGTTGACACATGTTGTATTCGTTGCGCGTCTGAATATAAGTGATACAAGCTGGTAATAATTGAACAATAGCTAAGAATAGTAATTAGGCAAACTATAGTTACATATATGGTAATTAGGCTTTTAACTATAGTGTTTTATTAAAATTCCTCTAATCTTAATAGTGTGACTAGGACTTTGGCGAAAACTTACGGCCTTGTTCCAAAGTGAATATCACACTCAGAGGCGGAGTTAGGATTTTAGACTTATGAGTTCGGGATTTTAATTACCTTAAGTTACTGGGTTCTTGTCATGACCCGAAATTCAACTAGTCGTGATGGCACCTAACCCAACCTGCTAGGTAAGCCAATTTATCAATAATCTAACTCAAGGAGATCTACTGAGAAAATAAATAATGAATAACTGAACTTTTATACAAAAATTCCAAGAATTGGTAGTACAAATCATGAGCTTCTAAGATTTAGAGTTTACAAAATTAGTACGAAATAAATACATCATATGTTTGAAATGCACGTAAACAATTTTTTGTAAATCTAAATCTACCATGAACAAGAGGCAGCTACAACCGAAACGCAGGTAAATCTTCAATGCCAGCTCCCGCCATACACAGCAATATCATCTCCAAAATCTGCACGCAAGGTGCAGAAGTATAGTATGCGTACAACCGACCCCATGTACTCAATAAGTAACAAACCTAACCTTTGGTTGAAAGCTGAGACAAGCTTGGACAACTGTCAGAGTCCAACACCAACACCTAAGAACAACTCGTAATAATATAATGAAACATTACAAGTAATACTCAAAAATATGATGCTGAGCTCGTTCATAGTTACGGAAAATAGGCATGCTTTTCAGGTATTGTCACGACTCAATTTTATCTTAGACCGCGATGGCGCCCAACACCATTGTTAAGCAAGCCAACACTGATCAAAGTAATGGTTTCCCGTTTAAATAAAATACTAAGTAGATATCATTTCCTTATTTTTAAAGAGATTTAGAAATTTGCCAATGTGACATAATTAAACGGAAGCAAACGAGTACAAGTCGAAATCATGTAAGCATAACCAAAATTATAAGTTTACTAGTATATGTGTCAAGACCTGGTGTCACAAGTATGTGGGCAATCTAGTAGAATATATAAAAGAACACTAGCCTACTGTCTAAAATAAAATAGACAGAAATAAAATAAAATATAAGGGAGACTCCGGCAACTCAGAACGGCTCGGAAGATAGCTCACTGTGAAATCTCGAGATGGGGATCAAATCTGCGCACCAGACTGGTAACCAGATGCACCTTCCTCAGATCCTGTACAATTAAGTACATAAGTGTAGCTTGAGTATATAAATAATATGTACCCAGTAAGTATGTAGCCTAACCTCGAAGAAGTAGTGACGAGGGGTCGACTCCGACACTTACTAGGGCCAATAACTTGATAATATGAAATTCTAATTTAAGCATGATATACATCAATAAGACTCGGAACAAGAAATAACTGAGCAAGTCTTCAGAAATATTTAAGAGCTTGAATCACTTCCTTCCTTTAAAACATATGATCACACAAACAATGAATTTATACCGATTATGAAAGGAACTTCCAGTTTTCTTATCACACACGAATACCACCGAGGACGTACGACACGATCCAACATAAATGTAAATTGTGCACTATCAAGGGTCGAACGACGCGAACCATAGATGCATCTATTACCCTGCTCGCGAATCATACATGCGACGCGGTCAAATATAAATTTATCAATAAATCATAACTCTTCCTTGAT